CAGTTTCATCAGCAGGTTGCATCTGCAAAGGTAGTCGTAATCACAACCTTTTTTCAGGTCACTTGACTTTAAACCTTCATAACTCCTTACTCAATAGATAGAAGTCTTCTGGAGGACTTCCTACTAATTCGCAGAATGCTATTCCACCAGATTGCCAAATATTCCCTCAGTCAGCAATCTTTGGTTGCTTTGGGTAACAGGGTTTCAATCACTATTGTAGGATTGGAAGTTATCCTCATAACTATTACTTATTCTGAAACCTAGTTGCAATACTCTGTGAAGTCTAATGGCTTCTACAGTAGTGTTCCTTAGAGTTATAGACTCTTCTGGATATTGTAGGGTGAATGTGAATATATTGGTCTCTCACTGAGATCCTTTACCATTTGATACCATTTTTTTGTACAAAAACATCCCATTACTTACAGCTCATGCCAAAATTATCACATGTTTGAAGCCTAGTAATCTTCTGAGTAGTTGTCGGATTTACTCCGTTCTACTTCTCAGACCTGGCCGAAGGTTCCTTCTCATAAACCCTGTGAACGGGATCCATTCGGACAGATGGCAGCGATGTATATAGCGCTATTCTGACATCTTCTATTTTGTGGTATTATAGTCACAGGACACAACTAAGATTGATATATATGATGACATGCAGGCCCCATGAGGGGGCCAGAGGGGGGTGTTAGAGACCAGAGATTCTGATTCTGGGTGAGATTACCCTACTTAGGGTGACTCCTAGGTATCAGATCCCAGTATTCCTAACAGCAAGTTCCAGTCTCGAGACTGATGTTCTCCTAAATGTGGTTGAGATACTATAAGCAACAAGAGAGCCTGAGTGTTACTCAGATGCTGCTTCAGATGCAAGATGGCAAGAAGCAATGAAGAGTGAGTATAGCTCACTGAAGGCATATGGTACCTTCACACATGTCAGGAACTATGATAGAAATCCAATTACCTACAAGTGGGTCTATAGAATCCAGCGAAATGCAGATAGGACTAATCACTATAAGGCAAGATTGGTTGCGAGGGAATTTGAGCAAGTCCCTGGACTTGACTATATTGAGACATTTACTCCTGTGGTATGACTAACTACCTTCTGAATATATGTTGCACTAGCTATTGAACTTCGTGCTACTATATATCATCTCAATGTAGTTACTGTTAGGTGGAGACAACCTGATAAACTTCAGAGTTGTCTAGGCCAACCAAAATTTGTTTCTGTAGACGGAGATTGTCTAGGAAGGCTCAGACTTCACTCGTTTCATTTATGACCACTAAGAGTAAAGTAAAGTAAGTAAAGTGGAATTGAGTCGTAAAGACAATATTATATTGTTAAGGTCTCTTCTCCATTGCTGGATGATGTCTAAAGCTTGGGAGGTACTTCGATATTTATATTCCACGTCTGAGTGTTCACGGACTACATCTATTTATTATACAACTATATATCTCTCTGATTATAACTTGCAACATAGAGTATTCTTAAAAGGTGCAAACACCTGGAGACCTTGAAAATCACCACACTCTCTTCAGCAATTAGGAGATAACTAACTTGGAACCATTCCATTCCCAATAGTAGTTATCTGATCATTAGAGTCTTTAGACTTATGGCCTAGTTCTCAAGTCGAACTGAGTTGGCTCCAATTGTCTTCTCTATTAATGAAATGATCAGTTTCATCTGCAGGCTGCATCTGCAAAGATAGTTGTAATCACGACCTTTCTAGGTTACCTGAGTTCAAACTTTCATAACTCCTTACCCAACTGATAGTTATCTTCTGGAGGTCTTCCTACTAATTCACATGAAGATATTCCACCGGATTGACAAATAGTCCCTCAGTCGGCAATCCTTAGTTACTCCGGGTAACAGGGTTTCAATCGCTGTTATAGTATTGGGAGTCCTCCCCACAGTTAACAAGTATTCCAAAACCCAAGTTGTAATACTCCATGAAGTCCATTGGC